AGAGAGAGAGAGAGAGAGAGAGAGAGAGAGAATTTTTTATTATTTATTTTTTAGTTTTCGGCGGACACATGTGTTTGTATGTGGTGCTGAGGACCAAACCCGGGCCGCACGCATGCCAGGCCAGCGCCCTACCGCTTGAGCCACATCTCCAGCCCTGAGCTAATTTTTTAATCAGAAAAATTAATGTTTGGTATTTATATCCATCAGCATTCAGTACTCAGTCCAGAAAAATGTTGCAAAACTAATTTGTTGTCCATCAGTAGACACAAGAGATTTAAAATCTGCCACCCTGAGGTGTCCAGTGGCTGGATTCTAATCTGCACACTGCCTCTAAACTCTTGAGCAGCTCCTCTCAGTCTTACTATGATTGTGGTTGACCCTCCAGCTTTATAAAGGAGATTTTATATGTTTATAAAGGAGATTATGTGGGCTGGGGTTGTGGCTCAGTGGCAGACCACTTGCCTAGCACATGTGAGGCACTGGGTTTGTTTCTCAGCACCACATAAAAATAAAGAGCTAAAAATAAGGGCTGGGGTTGTGGCTCAGCGGTAGAGTGTTGTCTAGCACATACAAGGCCCTGGGTTCGATCCTCAGCACCACATAAAAATAAATAAAAATAAAGGTATTATGTTCAACTACTTCTAAAAAATAAACATTAAAAATATAAAAGTTATTAAAAAAAGGTGATTATGTGTGCTCTAAGACCCTGCTGTTCTCAGCCACAGATCAGTCCAGCCAAAGGGGCTGCTTTAAAATGGCCACCATCTTCTCACCGAAAAAGTCAGATTTCTGCATTAGTTCCCAGTTTCTAGCTAAGGGGGACCCACTATCACAAACAAACCTGGGGTTCCTAGTCTCCCTGTGCTTTGGCCAACCCCTTCTTGCTGGCTGGGTGCTGTTCCTTGTGCTAAATGGAACGGGGTGGCTGCATGGCAGACTCTTGGGCCAGTGAAGGTGCCCTCCATTAGGGCCTTCCCTGAGACCTCAGCTCCAAGAGAGAACACATCCTAGGGCCCTTCCAAGAAGAAGGTGGCTCGCCATGGGCAAGGTGCATGTCCCCTTGCCCCTGCCTTTCTGATCTTGCGTATGTGCATATTGGAAGATGAGCTGATCCGGGAGGTGACCATCAACTGTGCAGAGAGGGGGCTGCTGCTACTGCGAGTCCGGGACGAGATTCGCATGACCATCGCTGCCTACCAGACCTTGTACGAGAGCAGCGTGGCGTTTGGCATGAGGAAGGCGCTGCAGGCTGAGCAGGGGAAGTCAGACATGGAGAAGAAAGTGAGTAGGGTTTACCATGCCCCCTGGCCCTCAGGCTCTTCTGTTGATACCAGGGCCACTCTGTTGTCATTGCCGCGCTGCATCCTGGCTGCTAGGGTGCCCTCCTCACATTCATGACTCTGGGCCTTGCTTGGGTGTAACAGCCAGCCACATACATAGTCTTGGCTTGCTGGTCTCCCTGATGATGCTCCGTGCCAATCACTGACCTCCCACTTGGTGGCAGTATATACCCTGGCAATGTCAGGTTGGACAGCTGTGGTGTCCCAAGTCCTCACCACCCAGGCTCTCACACCACCCATCCATGGGCAACATCCCAGGATGACTGAGTATTGTGCCCTCAGATTGCAGAACTGGAAACGGAAAAGAGAGACTTGGAGAGGCAAGTGAACGAGCAAAAGGCAAAATGCGAGGCCACTGAGAAGCGGGAGACCGAGCGGCGACAGGTGGAGGAGAAGAAGCACAATGAGGAGATTCAGTTCCTGAAGCGGACAAATCAGCAGCTGAAGGTGATGGAGGCCCAGGTCACGGTGCTCCCACAGCACTGGTCCCCAGCCTCATGGGCTGGACAGTCCCCGTGGCCTTTACGTGTTGGTCCATACACACTTCCATGGGGTAAAGGAAGCTGACATTGGGGTGGGGCAGGCCCATGACGAGGGTCCTCCATCCCTCTGGCTCTGGATGGGCTCCATTCTCAACTCTGACCCCATGACACATCAGCCTGATTCTCTAGAAGACTTTTTGCCCTGGGAAAAGTCACCTAACCCCAGAGAGGAGGATAGGGTGGAAAGTAGAGGTGCCCTCCCCTCAAAGCTGGAGTTCTCCTTCATGGGCTGACTGTCCTCCTGGCATCTACTGGGGTTCCATGTCTGGGGCAGAAGCAGAGAAGGCCAGGTTAGTGGATGCACAGAGAAGGAAAGCCCCCTGGGAGGAAGAGCCACTTCAAGTTGAGGACCTTCCCAGGCACGATGGCGCACACCTGAAATCCTCAGCCTGGGAGGCTGAGGCAGGAGGATCACAAGTTCAAAGCCAGCCTCAGCAACAGCAAGGCACTAAACAACTCAGTGAAACCCTGTCTCTAAATAAAATACAAAATAGGGCTGGGGATGTGGCTCAGGGGTCGAGTGCCCCTCAGTTCAGTCCATGGTACCAAAAAAAAAAAAAAAAAAAAGCTGAGGACCTCCCCAGGCATTCGGTCTCAAGCACCCCCCTGTAGATGGTCTTCCTTACTTAGGGTCCAAGAACTGGTGACATGCTCCCATCTATATAAGGTGCTGGGAGCCATGCTGGTGGGAAAGGTTGGTCCAACAGAAGGCTAGTCACTGGCCTCTGCAACCTTATGCTCCCTGACTGAGCCAAAGATTTTCAGAGGTTTGACCCCAGACTAGCATCATCCTCATCGGGGGCAGCTTATGGAAATAAATGTTTGGGCACTCCCTGCATCTGCTGAACCAGAAAACTTCAACAAGGCCTCCTGAAGTCCTGGTGTCCGCTGAGGCCCTAGGCACTCTCTTAGATGCATAGCCTATTGACATTGAGCCACTTCTCCCACAACCCTGGCCGCCTCCTCCCTAATCGCAAGGAGAGCTTACATTCTTGAGATCAGCAGGTGTGTTGGCTCCACAAACCAAAAAGGCCAGCTATTTGTGATAAAGAAGCCTTTGTATTAACCACCATCAGAAAAGATTCTTGTAACCAAAGAGTTAAAGAAAAGCAAGAATTCTTTATTCCATTATTATTATTATTATTATTATTTTGCACCAGGGATTGAACCCAAAGGCATTTAACCACTGAGCTACATCCCTAGCCCATTTTTGTATTTTAGAGACAGGTTCTCCCTGAGTTGCCTAGGGCCTCACTAAGTTGCTGAGGCTGGCTTTGAACTCCTAATCCTCCTGCTTAGCTTCCTGAGCCACTGGGATTACAGGTGTGCACCACTGCACCCTTGGTAAAGCTGGAAAATTTCACAGCAATGTGATCACTTACCTAGCTACCCCTGAAAGCTGCTTCCCTATCTGCCATCTTCCTTTATCCGCCATATTCCTTTGTTGTAAGTCCTAGTTACACGGTTTTCCGAAGCTGAATACCTTAGCATCTTTTTAACATTCAAGAGCAACCTTGTAATCCTCAGGGTGAAGGATTCTTTAGAAGTGAGTTTCTTTTATTGGCTCAAAGCTGCACTGCAAATAAAGCAGTGTTTGCAGTCCCCAGGATAGACCTACTTAAAGATCTGTTCACATACCATGATAGTAAATTATTGTACCAGCTACCAGAGAAGCCGGGTAAATAACTCCCAAGTGTCTTAAGCTTTACCTACAAGATGGACAGCTCCCTACTCACTGGTAGCAATTTTCTCTAATTGGGTGTCAAGTTGTCTTAGTGGCTGATAATTTGCTGCTTCCCAAACCTCTGGTCCCAGCAGAGATCCCAGGATCCTAAACCAAAGAGCAGACACATTCAGGCCTGAAATCTGAGCAATGAAAAACCACTATTTCAACAACTTTTATTCAATTTCCTTTTCAATGCTTTATATTATACACTGAGCTATTACTGTATGGAAACCAGGACAGTTCTGGTTTCTCCTGGTGTAACAAGACTACGCCAAGCCAGAAACCAGCTAATCCCGAAAATATGGAGTGAGAATGAAGGGGGGAGAAAAGAACACTTGGAGTGGCAGCATTTGGATTATTCTTCCCAAAGACTTTATCACCTCTCAGCTATTTGTGTTAGGCTGCAAGCTTCAAGCATTAATGGTTTGTTTTGTTTTTCAGGCCCAACTGGAAGGCATTATTGCACCAAAGAAGTGATAATTTCCATATGGGTCTCAGCGAACACTACCACCCCATCACAAGCCCTTTGTAATAAAAAGCTAGTTTCCTGAGTGAACAAGCCATCCCCTCCCCTGACCACCACCTACACATTTGTCAGAAGTCACACTATTGCCCCAGTGTCATGGGACACCTACAGTCTGGCAACCAGGCTCCTGGTTAGGCAAGAGGGTGGCGTGACCCTGATAGTCTCGGTATGCAACTTGTGGGCCAACCAGGAGATTCGCCAACTCAAATAGTAAGACTGAGAAGGAACTGCTTTCCCATCTCATCCACCATCCATCTGTGGCCAAAGGAAGCTACTCCTGTCTCTCAAATGTCTGGTTCACAGGTTCCCTTGTATCCTAACTGGGGCTTCTCTGGCCTCGGTCATTCCATTTTCATTCCTAACCAATGCAGTTTTGGTAACTCATTTTGGAGCTTTGTTTTTCTGCTGTATGGTCTCATCCCCACCCACCACATCAACTGGATCTCTTCCTTAGTCTAAGAGTTCAGGGAACAGCGGCAGCAGCAGACCCAGGCAGCGGAGGAAGTAAATGTTTGCTGGAAAGGAATCCAAGTCCCAGTGTCCTTTGTGAGCTGTGCACACTTCAGCTCCTCCCTCCCATAGACATCGTTCACCTTATTCTGCAGAAAAATTGAACTCTAACTCCACATCCCCATAGTTACCTGTTTAAACAACTGGAGAGGTAACCGTCTCTTGTATGCAGTTTCTATTACTTTGTGTGTGTGCGTGTGTGCATGTGCATGGTACTGGGGACTGAACCTAGGGGTGCTCTACCACTGAGCTAGTCTTTTAAAATTTTGAGGCAGGGTCTCACTAAGTTGCCGAGGCTGGCTTCGAACTTGCAATCCCCCTGCTTCAGCCTCCCAAGTGGCTGGGATTACAACCATATGCCACTGTGCCCAGGGGCCATGCTAATTATTAATGACCAGAGTATGGCCGGCAGACAGCTTCTGTAGACCCAGAGGATTGAATTAGTGACACAAATCCTTAATTCTGGGCAGACCAGGACAGCAAGCCAGGTGACATCCATCATGCAGTTTAAGTTTCCCAAGTCTGGTTCCATAGGAAGGCACTACCATTTCACGGGGTTGCAATGCCACTCAGTATCCCTTGAAGTGCAAGGACAGACTGACTCCTTGGCAGAGCTCTAACATAACACCCTTCCAGATTAGGGCTTCAAGGCTCACTGGGAAAACTAGTCCCACAAGAGCTGTGTTCCTAGAGCACACCCCACCACTCTAATCTCAGGTTGCAAGCCACAGCTTTGACCCATACCCAGTGTCTTGAGGAATTATAAGTCCACTCAAGTGACCTGCCTGTGCTGCCATCTTCATGAGAAAGAACTCTATTCCCTGAGGTCTGTGGTCCCATGACTCGTGACAGCAAAGCATGCATGTCCTAAATGGGTCCACTTAATGAGGGTCAAAAGTTTCCAGAGCTTTTTTCTCATATCTTAAAGTACGGCCAGGTATACCAAACATCTCTGAAACACGCTACAGCTCTCTGAGCTTCCACACACGCTGCTGCCTGGCAGTTCAAAGGAAATTACCATTCTGCACTCTGTGCATCTCAGACCCCATTTCAGCACACAGCCAGCCAAAGGCACACTTGGAGGAACTCAGAGCTGACTCAAGTGTTTGGAGAGGTCAATGGACTTGACGATGGAACTCAGTAGGGCTGAGGGCTTTATTTTCACCGGCACCAGTAAATGGCTGCATCTGTCAAGCCTCAGAACACGTGCACTGTGTCCTTAGAAATGCCAAGTGGGCATGAAGAAAATGACTACAATTTCTAATTGTATATTTTTGTATAATATAATTTAATAAACAATTTTTTTACATGTTACTGCTTATGTCTGAATCTTTTGTGTCTGTGTTTTTGTCCCTCGGAGTCATTGGTCTTCTTTTTGTTCCTGTTCCTATTTTTCACGTTGTGTGTTTCATAGTAGCGCACACCAACTTTTCTGGATTGCTGCTGCCGTGCTGCTCGCCTTCGCTGCAAAAAAAAAAAGAAAAACCCAATCAAGCGCTGAAAGTCATAAAACAGGAGCCTGTCTCTTACCACTCCACCTCCCTTGCAACTAGTGAAACAGGGCTAAAGAGAGGTCCCCCACACAGACCTGTTGACCCCTTCCTGATTCACATTTGGTCCAGCCCCCAACCCCACCTCTGATGTCTGAATCCTTTGTGGCATTCCTGAAAATCTGTTCTCCCTGGTGGGCTTGCTCCAGCTCCACAGAGCACGGTCACAAAGCTGTTCTCATGGAGGTCAGTGATCTGCCTCCCTAGCCAGTTCTGCTCCTCAGGTCATCTCCCAGGGACCACACAAAAAACCAACTCTTCCAAAAGGTAGGTCACAAAGTGGAAGACAGTACCCAGGAACAAATTCCATGGACTTATGACATCTGTCCAGTTGGCCACCTCTTGACCCTATTTAAGTGACTTCAACCAGGTAGCTGAGGTCTGGGGTTCCTAGGATTCAGCTCTAGACCCACATTTGTTTCAGAAAGTGCATCCTGAGAACTGCACTTCTCCCTACTTTCTACACCTGGGTCTTGGGAACTAAAGCACTTACTTCCTTAGATGTAAGTGTCCTTGGAGTTTTACTTGAACGTTCTTCTTCCCTCTGAGCCTTCCGCTTCCTTCCCTTTTTAGTAGGTGCTGGATCTAAATGATACATAAAACACACATGGAAAAAAAAAAAAAGGAATTTCCTATTCAAAGTTTGCCCTTGAATTCCACGGTGGAGAGGAGGAGGAAGGTGGCCAGTGGATGGGGCAGGTGAGCACAGCATACAGTAAAGCAGGACGAGGCGGGGGGTGGGGGGGTGGGGGTGGTGCCAGGCCAGGTCAGACCCCACAGACTATAGCAGGGTTTGCTTTCGTGTCACATAAACACTCCTGATGTGGAAGCTGTCAGTCAGAAGGGGTCAAGAACAAATTCATGTAATGTCCCTGCTCCAATTTGTCTGTGGACCCACCCTTAGATTCTTAGACTAACACTGTACCCTTCTTAGAAAGATGATTCCTGAATTGCCAAGTTAATCCTGACAAAGTGAACAATGAGAAGCAGATAACCCAATTTGTATGATTAATACTATGGAGAACCAGGTCATGTATCTGTGTGGATGCCAGTAGAGGTCACCTGGAAGTTCCACTTAGGTTCCCAAAATTCTAAAGATGCAAATCACATTTAAATAATGTATCTTCACCTATATCATTTTCTTCTTTAGATGATTTTCTCTGTTCTTCAGGTTTGGCGAAAACCATTTCACTTAACCCCTTGGATATTCTGAAACAGAAAAGCAAAGTAATGAAGCGGCCTAATATTCTCTTCAGTCACCCGCAGCAGGGTGTCTTGGAGACCTGCAACAACCTCTAAAATAAACTCCACTCCTGTTTGCATGGTTAACACCAGGGGAAAAAGTTGGTGGAGTTCCTTGGGCATTTCTAAGATACTGGATAACTAATTTTCTCATGCTTCAGGGAGCTAAATGTGACAAGATTCACACGATTTCTTCTTAATCTGCAATGACCGCCACCCACACACATGTACTGCCAGGACAGGGGTGGGTAGGCTCAGTGGTAGAACATTTGCCTAGTGCACTCCAGGCCCCAAGTTCTACCCCTAGCACTAAAAACAAAAACACCCTTTCCCATACTTGTGGCAAGTTTTGGGGAAAAGAACAAATTCAATTCATTTAATGGTGAAAATATTACCTGACGGCTGAAAACTTTTTAGCTTTGGCTTTGTTTAAAAACTTCTGGTATTTTGCGATCTTCTCATCCAGGGCTTTAATGACTGCTTTGGTGTCACTTTGCCCTGGCTCTTCCAGGGACTCCTGGTAAGACTCGGCCTCATCTTCCTCCCCTGGCTGCTCCTCTTCTTCCACCTCCTCAGCAGACAAGCTCTCCAGCTCTTCTTCAATATCTGACACCTCCACAGGAACCAGGTCATCCCCACAAAACTGGGGCACTACATTGATTTTGCCAAAGTTCTGGCGAACCCGTGTGAGGATCTGTTGCATCTCTGAGCTGGCATTGCAGGAACTGTCCTCTTCTTTTTTTCCCTCAATGACGGATTCTGACCCTTTACCTACAGTTTCTGTGGTTTCCTCTTCTGGGTTGTTCTGGGTTGTTTCTGTGGTAATTTCCAAAGATGAGGGTGGTGGAAGCTATTGAGGCCAAGAAGGAGCAGAAGCCGGGAGAGAAACAGAATCAGAAAAGGAAGCAAATGCCTGAGCTCACACCTTGCTCTTGAATGAGCAGCCAACATCTTAGAACCAAGAGAAGTATGGAAAATATCTACATTTGAGTCACATCCTTCATCTATTCTAAGCCAATATATGTCAGACCCAGAAACAAAGGATCAAAGGAACTGATATGCACTTCTAAAAGATGCACCCATTTTAACAGTATTGAACCAGAGAAAACCAATCGATCATTTAGTACAGACAGGTAATGTTCCCTAGATGTTCCTGGAGAGTACTGTGATGAACATGGAGCTACTGAGATAAGCACATGCCACCATATGAAGATGAAACAAGAGCTGAACAGTGAGCAGGACCAGGAGAGGCATGTGAGGAGGACGTGTCTTAAAAGAAAGTCCAAGAATGCTGGAATAACTGGATTTTTTTTTTTTTCCACAGAACTCAAATGATTTCCCAAAGAAGAACAGGTATGTAGGGCTGAGGAAGTAGCTTGGTGGTGGAGTGTTTGCCTAGCATGCACCAAGTACTAGGCTCAATCTCTAGCTCAAAAAAAAAAGAAAAAAGAACCAGTGGCAAAGCACTAAATACATCAGGAATCTGTAAAATCCAGGAGAATTGTCCATTTTTCTAGTGAGGCAATTTTTAGCTTTCAAGTTCAAGAGGTTTCTGCCTCACCAATAGAGAAAAAGAAAGGAAAAAAATCACAGCGTAGGAGAATGTAATAGTTTTGGGGGCTGGATTAGATATGGAACCCAGGACCTTCTGCATGCTAGGCAAGTACTCTACCACTGAGCTACACCCCCAGCCCCAGCAGAATAGTTCTTAAGAATTAATTGAACTCATTACCTAAACTTAATGACTAGAAAGGAAAGAAGGACTGAGGTAAGTCCAGTGTTTCCCACAGGCTCACAAGCACACAGACTTCCAGCTGGTTTAGACCCAGCCTCCTGCCCCTCCGACTCAGCCAGCCACTTCTCTCCAGCACTCTGCGCAGGCCACGGACACCCCATCTCAGGTGCTCTGGCTGTGCTGCTCCCCTTGCCTGGAATGTTCTCCTCCCAAGACACCCGAAAGGCTCCAAACTTGAAGTTCACTGCTAGAAAGCCGCTTCTCAGAAACCCGTCCCAAGCTCCCCACTCACAGGAGAACTTTTCTGCCTGCCTTAACACCTTACCCCGGTTGAGTTTTCCTCATAGCACATGACACTTCTTGTTACATTTTTTTATGTATTTAAGGAGACAGATAACGTTTAGTTTTTGCCCCAGAGCTCCTAAAAATCTTGGCATTTCCTGAGGGCCAAGGGTTTCTTTTGCTATTCATAAGCCCCTCTCCCTCACACCTGCATTTAAGTTAATATGATGACTTATGATGGGATTCCCAGGTAGCTTCAGAATGGAGGCTGGTCTCCAGAAAGACAAAGGCATGACCTTCAGCCCCACCCCAACCTCTGGGGAAGGAGGCGGGGCTGGAGCCCAATCACCA